GCAGAGGAGGTGCCCGTGTGTTACAGACGGAGGAGCCGGAACCCAGCCTGCGCAGATGCTGAGTGGGCGGCAGGACACCTCCACCCTAACACCGAGGAGATGCCCGGTGTGCCCCTCCCCAGCTGGAAGGACTGACAGGAGGGACAGGGTCGCACACAGCCCAGCCTCCCCATGGCAACTGCTGCAACTGTCCTTAGAAAAGTGTTTTATTTGAGCATAGAGGGAACAGTTGCGCCACGAGTCCACCCAAGCGCCGGGCTGGGCCCCTCTGCCTGGCCCCTTCCAGTCCCTCGCCAGCTCTCAGCCCCTCCCTGACCGGCAGACACGGCTCAGTCCTGTGTCCTCAGCTCCCTGCCAGCACAGCCAGCCAGTGACCGCAATGGCCTGCACGACAGCACTGCTACTCCGTGACCTCGGGGATGACGCTCACCAGCAAAGTGTCGTAGCCACGTCGCACCAGCAAGGCCAGGCTCTGCTGCGTCCGCACGGCCTCATACACATCCTCTGCGCGGCGCGATGCCTGCCCGTTGATCTCCAGCACAACGTCACCTGCCTTCAGCCCTGCCCTGCAGGAAGAACGACGACAGGAGTGCACAGCAGGCAAAGCAGACGCTCAGCTTTGCCTTCCCAAAAGGAAGGGGAGGCTTGGGCTGCTGCACCAGGCGTTCCTCCACCCACACAGGGACCTTGGCCAACAGGATGCCAAGCCTGGACAAGGGTCACCAGTTGGTTCCTGCTGCAGACTGACAGCAGCAGGGCTTCTGCTGTTCTGGAGCAAAACACTCGGAGCTAAATACATCCCATCCCACACAGCTGCCCTCCCACGCCACCTCCCAGGGCACAGGGTAGCACTTACTGATGGGCCGGGGAGCCAATGATCACTTTGTGGATCAGCACTCCGTAGGAGACATCGGGGAAGCTGGGGTCACGCAGCTTCAGCTCAGCCAGGATGCTGTAGAGTGAAAATCAGCATTGAGGTGAGGAGCTGGGAGACAGAGCACGGCTCCCAGCCCATGACAGCTGCACAGGCTTGAAGAGCACAGTGCAGAACCTCTCCTCCTGCACCCCTGCACGCTGCCAACCACAAGCAACCAGCTGTAAACCCCAAGGGCACCTAGCACCACCGTATTCCTGTCAAAAACTGGAGCACTGAAGTCCTCACTGTGCCAGGGGGAGCTGGAAACCACCAGAGCAGCTGCCAGCTGGCTCCCAGCTGCTGGTGATGCGCTTCCCCTGCCCAAGCAGCCCCACGATGGATCACCCTTCCTGGTATCAGATCTACCCCTCCCCGGCTGCAGTCTCATTTCTCTGCCTTTGGCGGGTAGGGCACAGAACAAAAGCTATGCCCCCACTTCTTGTCAGACGTGTCAAGCAGAGGGGTACCCAACATCTCTCCTCTGGAGCCTATACACTAGACAACCCCAGTTCCTCCAACCTTCCTGCAGATTAGGTTTTCTAAAACTAGCTTAAACTGTGCACCTCTCTGCTCTTCTTCAGACTCTCTCCAATGGCTCCTCACCCCTCCTCAAAGCATCCAGAACTGGACACCGTGCTCCAGTTGGATCTCACCAGAGTGGAGGGACCGCACATCGTGTAAACAGCATTCCTCCCTCAAACACTGTGCATCAGCTCTGGTCTGCTGCAGCCTCAGAAATCCTCCTGGTCTCTCTGCCCAACTCCTTGCTCCTCATCGGGTATCTGTTCAGACAGTTACAGCTCCCCACTTCGCACTGGTCCTTGCTGAACTCTACTGTACTTTTTCACAGACCTTAGCAAGCTGCCATCTCTTCCTGATTTCACAGGATCACAGCATGGTCGAGGTTTGAAGGGACCTCGTGAGATCATCTAGCCCAACCCTCCTGGCTCAAGCAGGCTCAGGCAGAACAGGTTGCCCAGGACTACGTTCAGTCAGGTTTCGAGTATCTCCAAGGCTGGAGACTCACCAACCCCTCCAAGCAACCTGTGCCAGGCTTTGATCATCCTCCTCACAGTAAAAAAGTGATTTCTCGTGCTCAGATGGACTCTCACGCGTTTCAGTTTGTGCCCGTTGCCTCTTGTCCTGTCACTGGGCACGACTGACAGAACTACCAATCTGATGTTTACTAAGTCAGGCCTGCTTCTTCGACTCAGTCACTAAAGCTGAACAGCACATGCCCTCAGGCAGGTGTCTGTACAAACACAGTAAATGCGTAATTTTGTGATTTTAGGCTACATAGCACTAAGAGTGGCTGCACCCAGTTGTGGCAGGTTGTTGACCCTGGCTGGCAGGTAAGTCCCCACCCAGCAGGATGGGAGAAAGAATTTGAAGGGCAAAACCAAGAAAACTTGTGGGTCTAGATAAAGGTAGTTTAACAGGCAAAGAACGAAAGAAAAGAAAAAAAAAGGAAAAAAAAAAAGACAAGTGATGCAAAGGCACTCGCTGACCACCTCCCAGCAGCAGACTGATGCCCAACTGATCCCCGAGCAACGGCTACCCTAGAACCCCTGCCAGGCTCATACGGCACGGCTGGGGGACCCCACCCCCCCTAGCCTCCTCCCTGCCGCGCCGAGTGAGAAACAGGGCAGACCTTGACGCCACGCAAGCACTGTTCCGCAACAGCTAAAACATCTGGGTGTTACCAGCGGTTTTGGTCATAGATCTAACACACAGCACCACGTGGGCTGCTATGACGAAACGGACTCCATGCCAGCCAGACCCAGTCCACAGGTCAGTCAGACGAGAGGTCCATCTTCCCCACCCTATCACCCACAATGCCGGCTGCAGATGAGAGAGTTCCCCGGATACCTCGAGCTGCCTGGCTCAAGAAGCTCCTGAGCTGTAACGCCGCATCTTTACTTTTGAAAGATTTTTCTTCTGCAAAGTTTTCTGGCTGCTCTTTTGAACCCTACAACATCAGCAAGTTCTATCATACATTGCATGAAGAACCAATCCATGTTTTGGACGTCCCTCTAGTAACAGTCCTGACCAACAACACCCCCCAGCAGCAGTTTCATGTAGAACCTGTTCCAAATAATCCGTGTCTCTCTCCTCTGCTCTTTCAAAGTCCTTTGCTCAGTCCCTGCTTACTCGATGCTGTAAGGTGACCGCAGAGGACTGTGCTAGCCAGGGCCCTGCTTCTTCCCCTGTTTTTTTTACGGCCAGGGCAAGGGTAGCTAGGAGCTTCACCACAGCTGAGCTCAAAGCCACTGGCACACCCGTGCTCCCTTCGGGCAGCAGGGCAAAGGGCTGGTGTCTCAGGAGGCTGCTGCCTGCCAGACAATCTGCACAGCAGGATCAGTATGCCAAGGATCTTGTACCCAACATAGAGCATCTCCTTCTTCCTGTGCTAGGGCAAGTTTCTGGCCTTTCAAATGAGAATGTTCAGATGGAGTAATCACCTGATTCCAAGGTGAGCAATCTCTTTCTGCGAGACCTTCCCAGCAACTGGGCACAAACAAGATGCAGTCAGACAGTTTCCAAGGACCAGCTGCCAGACTGCTTGCCAGCTGCGCTGAAGCTGGACCTGCTTCCTAGGAGCAACGTCCTAAGTATTTCATGCTTCTTCCCCGACATACTTCATCCTGCACACCTGCCCAGCGAAGCAGCAGGCGGCTGGGCTCCCACACGCCACACATTTTGCCGAGTACCAGCACCATTTACTGAGCCTCCGCCAGGCACCCCAGCAACACTGGCAGTGTTCCCACAGCACGGCCCTGAACCTCCAGAGGCACAGAGCATCTGCTCCCCCGCCTGTGTCCCAGGCAGGAACCCCAGGGACTGCTCGTGGCGTCTAGAGGTGCGGGCAGCCTGCAAGCCCAACTGACATAGCAGGTCCGGGTCAGTGATCGTGTCCCTGTGCTCGGCACTGGTGAGGCCGCACCTCGAGTACTGTGTTTGGTTTTGGGCCCCTCACTACAAGAAGGACACTGAGGAGGGGGGGGTTGGTCTCTGCTCCCAAGTAACCAGGGATAGGATGAGAGGAAATGGCCTCAAGTTGCGTCAGGGGAGGTTTAGATTGGATATTAGGAAAAATTTCTTTACTGAAAGAGTGGTCAAGCACTGGAACACGCTGCCTGGGGAAGTGGTGGAACCACCATCCCCAGAAGTGTTCAAAAAGCACACAGACGTGGCACTTCGAGACATGGTTTAGTAGGCACCGTTGTGTTCACAGCTGGACTTGATGATCTCTTGATGATCTTAGAGGTCTTTTCCAACCTTTATGATTCTATGAACACACAAGAGCCACGAGAGCTTTCGCAAGGGGAAAGCACAGCCCTGAAAGGTGTTTCTGTCAAGCATGCTCCAACCACCAACCCCACTAGCATGCCAAGCCCAAGAGTCAGTTGAAGGTCTCTGCAAGAGCCAAGAAACCAGAGCAGGCACTCTGTCCTTGAAAAGGAGGACAGCTCTCAGAGGCAAGAGTGCAGGTCCAGCACGCTCGTTACACACGCACTTGCTGCACCCAGGCGCCTGCTGGCAGGCGTTCAGGGCCAGCTCCTGCAGCAATTCCCCCACAGGGCTCCCAGCCCTAAGCGGAGCTCCATGCAGGCCCGAGTGGCAGGACAAGGCCGCACCGCCTCAGGGCCCCTGCCTCAGGGTGTGTGGTTGGCTGCCAAGGCCACGGGCACGTCTTGGGGACTGGCCGAAGCAAGGGCAGCAGGCGATCCTTCCGTCAGACCCAAGCAGGCTGTCTGCCTGCGCTCCTCTTTGCTGACCAGCATGTTCCTTGAGACGCAGAGGCAACATAGGGCCTTCCCAAACCACAGCCACGAGGGTGACAAGTCTCAGACACAGTAGCCATCCTCTTCCCGCTTGCCAGTGCTGTACTGGTCAGCACCACAGCTTCACTCCAGAGGCAGCACCCAGCCTTCCCCCTGCAACCCAGGAGCCTCACACCACCCTCTGCATGGCAGCCATGCCGCATCTGCCAACACAGCCTGCTCGTCTACCTGTTCACCCCCTCCCTCAGCTGACCATACTGCAGGCAAACTTGCAATTTCTTACCCTGAAAGTTCTAGAACTGTGTCTGCACCACAGCAATTCACCTGGCAGATCACTCCTAGAGAGTACAACTTGCCCAACTGTTTCCTCACAACTTTCAGCAGGTACGTTGCATAGCTGTTAATTACACAATGTTTGTGGTGGCTCTTCATTCATGCTGTGCTGCAAGGACTCTTTTCTTTATTGAATTCCCCTCAATGACAATTACAGCCTGTTCTGGCACTCTGGGGGGTAGGTTCAGGGACTTTTTATCTCCTTGCAGATTCTGCCACAAGTGTAGAAACTTGCAAGCTTCTGATCTACCCCTGACACAGCCTAAAGTCTAAACACAACACAAGCACAAAGAGATTTGAGAGTGAATGGTAAAGCTGTGAAGACAATCCTCCTACAAACAGACACTCTCAGTTCTCTGTTAGTTTGGAAGACCCTGTTCACACAGTCACCATGCCCCAGCAAGACCAGCCTGTTCGCCCCCACTCTCAGGACACGTACCTTGGTGTAAGAGTCAGCATCATCACTCCTATGTAACGGCGCTTTGTCTCCGTACTGCCAAACCAAGAGCCTGTCAAAGGAAAGGACATCAAACCACAAGGCTGAAAATGGACACGCACTCAAAACAGCAGTGGGCTGAGCCAGCCAAGTCACAAAGCCCACGCCACCTCAAGGCAGACAGTGTGCCGAGCGAGTCGTTCTGATTCCCCACCAACAGCTTAGCTAAGTTCCACTCACCAGTTACGAGATTTATAGCTATGGCATACTTCGCTTTTCTGGTTTGAGCTGTCATTTTTTTGACTGAAAATATCACTCCGCAGTGTCCACACGAGAACTAGATAGCAAGACTACAGACTAAAGTAACTACCTGTCCTTTACGATACAGCTGAATCCTGCACCTGCACTTCCATTAGTAGACACAAGGCTAAGCAGCCCCCGGTTTCCAGGTCACCCTTTCCCTTTTTCAACACCAACAAATGGTCCACTGATTTTTCCATATGTTGAGGTCTAATGAAAAGTAGTAACAGATAAAAAAGAAAAAAACAAACAAACAAAAAAAACCACCAAGAAATCCTCACCTACCCCTGGGGACTTAAGTGAAAGCTACTTGGGACACTAAGTCTTTATCTGCAGCAGATGCAGGCCAGCATCCTGCTTGCAGCTTGCCAGCCCCTGTGGGCAGGGAAGTAGCAGCACAGCCTTCCCACGGCATTGGGAGACTCTCCTGCCAGATGGGAGAATCTTCGTACCCCCCGAGAATCTCTCCCCCACTCCGCTTCCCTTCTCTCGGAAGAAGTGCCCGAAGCCCAGCTGTTCCCTCTTTCACCCTCCTCCTTCCAGCCTCCTTCCTCCAACACCCAAGCAGGGAGGCACCCAACTCACTTTTGCGGTGCTCCTCCTTTTGCAGGAACTTCCGCAGCCGGTCTGAGGGGATGGCAAACGAGATGCCTGATGTCACCTTCATAGTGTTCACACCAATGACTTCACCATCCTGCAGGGAAAGGGCACTGTGCTAGCCAACGTGCATTGCTGTGGAGAGGAGGCGAGCTGCTGTGCAAGTCTGGAGTCCTGCCTGCCACCCATCCCTCCCCAGCCTGCTGCTTCTGCGGCCCGCCCGAGGCTGCTGGCGGGGTGCAGGGACCGGTCCCATGGGCTGCAGCCCAGGCAGCCCCTCTCTCTGCTCTGCCAGCACCAGCCACGCTGGCCTCACCAGCGCAGGACTCGGCTCCGCCACGCCAGCACCCCATCGGCCCAGGCTGCCCAAACTGACACCACACGGGGCTGCTGCGCTGGGCCGAGTCCCTGCTGCTCCACAGGCAGCCTGGAGCAGGCACAGTCCCACCCTCCCAGCAGCTGCAGCACACACAAGCACTCACACCGAGGGGCACGGAGCCCCCAGGGGCACAGACCAAAGGGCACACGGTATATCTCTTCCCCGAGCAGCAAGGGTGCAGCAGGAGAACTTACCAAGTTGACGAGGGGGCCACCGGAGTTCCCAAACTGCAGCAGAGGAGAGAGGAGTAAACAGGCCGTGAAAGAGGCATCCTCGCACAGCCGGACCCGCAGCAGGGAGGCAGAGTCCAGAGAGCAGGGTCAGGCCAAGAAACGCAGCCAGTGCCCAGGTGACTGGCCAGAATCCCTTCGTCTCCCAGTGCTCTGCGTCCAGCCTCCGCTGACCTCGCGGCACCCACAGCCCTTCCCCCGCTCCCCCCTCCCCCCAGAG